TGGTAGGAAAGAGGATTTTTGGGGGAGGGGTCGTTTTTTGCAACGTTTTTCTCCGATGGCATGTCCTGGTAGAGTCGGAGCACGCTACGGACCAGTTGCTCGAGAATAAAATGCATTCATTTTTTTGAATTGCCCCTGCACTTGGTCGGTTTGTATATTGTACACTGTTCATGAGGCTGCATTGACATTGAACCATACTTTGAGCCAGTTCCCATTTACGCATTCTGATATGGCGCCAGCTTTTTGCACCACGTCTCATTTCACTCCAATGCTATAAAAATGCCTAGCGACCGTGAGGTTTTTCATGCGAAAGTTGCCTTTCCTAGGTTCCCTCCTAATGGGACTAGGTGCATCTCGGTTACGGTGAAGGTGCAAACTAGACCATATCGGAACAGTGCCACTTGCTTCCGCTCCACCGACGCTAACGATCGTTTCGCGGATTCGTAGACCTCTAGAAGGTCATACGATCCGCTAAGTCATCGAGAGGGGGGTAGGGGTTCGATTCGGCGCTGCCTGGCGACGGGGGGGGGGCTTTCTGCACTACCCGTGTTTCACTAGTTCTGGTCTACATCTCACTCTAGTGATCTTGTGAACTCTTGTACAGCTGGAGCAAGATAGCCGTACCATCATGGTGAAACCTGTCAACTCCTGTAAGCTCACGAAATCGCTTTCTCTAGATGGTCGACAGTCGATGGGAAGTAGTAAAAGTGCAAAATGCCCCCCCCCCCGTCGCCAAAGTGCCCCTTCGATCGTAACGCAGATGTTCGTGATGCGTCCTTTTGATGAAAATTTGGTTTGGCTGCTCGGCATTCACGAATCATACCACCAATGACTACCGCGACCGCCGTACGGTCGTCTGAAATTTATAACCACTTCAAATTGGCCCGCATGAGATATGGTGGTTGACTTGTCAGTGCGTTTGCTTCAAATAGCGAATTAGAGTACAATTTCACATCGGCGTTCTAGAAAAAAAAGTTGATCCAAATTTGTTGACCAGTGAGCATGAGGTCATGCCATTTTGCGTCTTGTTGTGGTGTTGTTGGCGGATGTGACGAGGTCGCGCTTCAATACCGCACCAATTAGCGAAATCTCGATGGGACGACACTAATTAGGAGTAACCCTCTACCTGTACTTTCACTCACTCAAGTATTGATGAGCTCTAGTCGTAGTGTTTAGTTTCTTCTGTGCTTTACGAGGTTATTAGGTGGAACATTTATTAGTAAGGCCTAACCTTTCGACTGCTTCGTCGTCTTCAGAGGCCAACGGCTCCACCGTTTGAACGGAAAAAGTCCGCTGCCGCACGAGAGCGCTACTCGGACGTGAATGTTCTAAATCTTTATATTATACATGATTTACATCCGACTAACGCTCTCGTGTGACAACGGACTTTCTCTCCATTCAGACGGTGTAACCGTTGGCCTGTGAAGACGATGAACCAGTCAAAATGTTAACCCTTATTATAAATGATCCACCTAACAACCTCGGGCGCAGTTCGGCGACGGAAGGGGACACTTTGCAATTTTTCTGCTTCACCAACTGTTTACAAGTCTCACTCTGGTGAAATTCTGTGAACTCTTGTGAAGCTGGAGCAAGCTCGTGAGCCATCATGGTAAAACCTGTCAACTCAAGAAAAGGCTCTCTAGATGGGTCGACACGTCGATGGAAGTAGTTAAAGTGCAAAATGCCCCCCCCCCTTCCACCCTTGTCGCCGAACTATCCCAGAACCCTCGTGAGGTACAGAAGAAGCTACACACTTATAACACGCCGAGGTTGCAAGAAGAGAGAAGCTATCTAGTACTAGTTTTCCTTGATGACCTCACTAACAGCATAACGCCACCTGCTTCATTTGTTCAGGTGCCTGCTCAAATAATTGCGCGCACCATCACCATATGAACGCGCCGTTCAGAAGTCCGACTTCATCAGATAACTTTTTGTTCTTAGGTAATTTACTGCTGAGGCGCCAGATGCCGCAGTGTCGCGTTATCTGATCGCTTAGAGTGTCTTTATGTGATGCTGGGTGTGATGCGGTTAATGGTGTACAAAGGCCCGTGAAGGCATGTGTTCATGGTATACGGTCGATTGGGCTCATTACCGAACCGCATATGCAGATCTTTCGACTCGCCGACAGAACCGTCCACATTGATGACAAAAACCGCATAAGTAGTGGATGAATAGATACGGTTAAGGTCAAATGGACGAGTATGCATACCTGGCGGGCCTACCTATTGTTTGGAATATTTGCATAACTATGGTTGCCGCGAACTTTATGAGTAGAGCGGTACTAGTCGGTCACGACCATCGTCATCACGGCCCAATGTATTTTCGCCGCCGCATGTGCCTTCTGTTCGACAACCAGTCGAATCTAGTGGGTCGCAGCTGCCGATGGACAGCTTCTTTTGTGAGGAGTTGAATGGCGAAGTGAACGGCTGAATGGCCAAAGTCGCAGGGGTCTGTCGCGACGTTACGGTCGTTCGTTAATAGATCGGTAAATAGGCGCCGGACGATAGGCGGCTGCCCTTTGATGAACCGCCAAAAACTCATCAGATAACGTCGTCGCTTCTCCAACTTTCCCTTATCAGTCAACGTTTCCAGCTACTGTGAGATACTGGCAATAGCGCTGATTCGAAAAAGCAGTTCAACTCGCCGTCACATTAATTATGGCTTATTTCTTTACCAATGTGAGCAAATTGGTGCTACTGTAGCCGTCAATTACGGGAATGGACAGGTGTCAGGCGGTCAGCAAATAAACATTGATTTGATTCGGGTGTGGCACTGTCCAATATCAGAAATGGGCCAGCGAGCACAAGGGATAGCTCTTCTAAGACTGTCCTTCTCTTTGGTGCGAGTATGATCGCAAAGCCCACTCGAACTGTCATCGGCTCGTGGTAATTCGTTCAATAATCTGCTTAATGGGGTGTTGTGTGAGTGTCGGTAGAGTCAAACGTCGGAAGACAAGCGACAGACCGCGCCAAAGTCTTTCTTCTCTTGTAATAGGATTGAATCAGCGAGCGCATTGACCGGAAGACGGTTGGGTCGGTGTCATTGGCGAGCATTGCGCAAGAGGGGGGCTTGGAAGAAATTAGATTTAGATTAGGTACCGGTGTTGTTTGTTTGTAGTGGGATGTCAAATTGATTTTATTTTTCTTTCAGTTTCCGTTTCCCTGATGAAATGTCAAATACCATCACGGTGAGCATGGATGATACGTTAAGAGTTGTGTGCCCTGCTGCAGGAGTGGAAAAAAGATATCTGAAAATTCACAAGGTTTGTCTGAAAAAAATTGATAGTCGAGGAATTAATTTTATTCCTAAGATCCTTGTATTTCCAGGTCAGCGCCCTGTCATATGAGTCATGTCTTCTGGAGACACAAAGAACTCTGGTAGCTACATGTGATGGCAGCGAAGCATCTCAAAAACCTACTATCATAGGAGTACGGCGTTTCAGTCCATTGCCATCGTCTAAAGCCATCCTTTTTGAACCGGGCGAAACATATTATTGGATTGGTAAGTTTCACATAAAATTTGAACTTATTGTGCGCTTGCGTAGTTTGCGTAGACGTCAGTTGATATTCGAGCAGCAAATCGGCTGGTACTAGTCCAAGTGGCATCTGGAGGGGCCACTTTCCAGCGGATCGAAGCTACTTTACGTCTGCTTTTCTGGAATCCCTCACCGAGATAGTGTGGCGCGTTCTAATATGTCACTTTCTCACCGCACCTTTTCACCTAGACGTAGAAGGCATGTCTTGCTGGACAGTGGCGCCTTCCAATCCAAATAGCCCTCAGAACTGTTTGATAACTGCGACAGACACGAATGCCTAAAAAAGCTGAATCGGACCATATTTGTCAAACAAGAGCGTGAAGTCATAGACGGTTTGAATGCGCAGATGAGTTAGTTCGACGTAATCCGGCTTGGAGAGGGTACTTTGATAATTTTCGGGAAAACGAGTTCCATTATCGAATCGCTTTTAGCACAATCTGGTTGACTCACCCCTGAGCTCCTTCCTACCTGTACTTCTCTACAGCACTCTGCAAAATGGTTGGGCAAAATTGACAGAAATTAACTAGATGTCATCTCCCCACCTCCCAAGCTGAACTGCGCATTAGATCGCCTCATTATTGTTCTGGTGAAATCGTGGGATCGCTGGGAGTCTTTAGCCCCGCTTCTGTAGGGTTTTATTCTATTTTCTGGGGTATAAGGCGCATTTCGCAGAGTCGGACGCGACAGGGCGCACGAAAAGTTACTCGTGAAAGTGTACCTACCAGTACATGGGATCGTCTTAATCTCCAGAAATAAGGTTTTCTATTGCGCATCTGATAGGAATGAAGTTTGTCCCAGAAAACTTTAGCAGTAGATGGTGAATATAATGAAAATTAAAACCGCTCACATCTTGACTCTCGCCTATGGGAAGGACTTTCCAGAATTGTTTGGGAGGCACAATAACTGACCTGTGCATGGCCTGGTCCACGCATGACATGCCATATATCAAATCGCATTCGAATATCGCTATAATTGTGGAAGAAATTTGAATGCATCACGCATTCCAAAATAGAAGCTCCAAGTGCTCCATTTTTGCCCTCCAACAACTTGGATAGCCGTTTGTACAAACAGACCGCATAAATCGAGTCTGAAAAGAAAGTATATGCGGTTGTCATTCGCATGCCAGGAGCACTGAACGGCTTGAAGAGCTGAGGGAGTGGAGAAGTGGGAAAGGATACAACTCCAGCTAAAGGATACAGCTCGAGTTAATGAACCTGACAAGTGATACTATAAAGCGTAAAGGTCTCAAAATAAAGATGTGTTTCAGCAACTTCAAGCGGAGAGAAAGAAGGTATCAATCAAGCTCATCGCGGTATGTGTGCGGCAGACAATATGCGCCTCGTCATTCACGTCCGGCCACAATCGGATTCGTCAAGTTCGGAAATTCGAACGACTACCATGAAGAATTCACGGCATGAACTGGCTATGCTGCCCTCGGAAACCCCTGGTGCGTTAAAGAAACTACTGCAGTAGTAAACGTGTGTGAACAGTCACTTATTTTCTGAAAAGCGTCCTGTTGAATTGGTTGCTTTTAGTGAACCCGAAGTTTTCCGCTATAGCACATTCGCTTGCCTCATATCCACAGCGACGCCAGCCCAAAGTACCTGACGGTGTTACGCCTGAGCAACTGCAGAAGGTATAGTAGCACGTTTTGATTACAAGTGGTATGAAAAGGCATACAAGTCTGATTGCTTCAGGTTGCGGCACTCGCTCAGAAAGGTGCAACTGGAACGTTCACCTTTGACACGCCAGAAGCCCAAGATCGCGAGGTATGAAAACTCTTCCTCTTCAGCTGCTATGTCGCCTTGAAGTCGCCGACTTCTTTGTTCTTCATTTTAATTGTCTTTTTCAGAAAGACGCCGCTTCTCGGTCGGAAAGCATTTTGTGGGACACCGTCCCACTTTTGGAAAATGTTCTCAATGGGGCGTCAGACAACTTGTTGTTCGGCTCAAATCGAATAGGAGATGAGGAAGGGGCATTTGTTGTTCACGAGGACATAGGTGAGACCTTCTTCGCATCGTTAATACTAGGCGCTCACAATTAACAGTTATTCCTGCGCTTCAAGCATCGATAGGAGACAGAACACGTCGTACTTCGGGAAAGGGGATAATTTTTGGTTGGAGGGGAGTTTCCAGTACACCAAAGTTTACTATACCCCTCCGATCACCGCTTCGACGCGCAAATTATCAGTTTTTTCATGTGGAGGAAAACCGTAGTTTAAATCCGAGCGTCGAATCTCGAATAGTGAAGATGGGGAAAAAATTGGAATGATGGGGGGAAATGGCTTGTAACCAGTTGTACCAGCAAGAGTGTAATTATTCTGACTAGAGAGAGGAATGTATTTTGCGAAATTTTCCCTCAACAGGGCACAGGAAGTGCTGGCGGAACAACTGTTGTTCAGTGAGTTACAGCCATGTTTCAAGCAACGGGGCGCCCATTCTTGAGGAGTTCCCTAGAGGGGCGTCGTATTTTGTCGCTGTGGTGACGGGGCCCGGCGCGACCCCGCTGGAAGAGGTGAATAATATTTATCCGGTTGGAAGAAAGTTTTGATAGCTTAGATTTTTGTATGTTTCGAACGAACGCTGTTGAGGGGACGTACCTGCTCATTTTTGATAACGAGAGATATTCCTGAGCAGAAATTCGCCCGGTTGTTGAAAAAAAAATTGAAATAACTGCCGAAGCAAGTTTGAGGAAGTTATAATGGACACAGTGGGTAGGTACGATGTCGGGAACGGACGGCCCGGTCAGCTCTCCTCCTCCGAGTGTTTTCTACGTGTTCTTTATGCACATAGCTATATACCCCGCCCCTTTGACAGCTGCCGATCATATCAGAGGGAGGCGGAACTAAAGGCGGTCGCACTCAGAGCCACCTCTGCGGAAGAGGGCTCGGTATGGACTCGGGCTTAAGAATCTCATCGGCTGAAATTCCCAACTAATGATAACGCGACAAAGCCTTATCATGTTGTTCACGCTTTCTTTACAGGAGGGTGCAGACGAGCAAACATGACGACCCTTACCCCATCTGTGCTCTCCCAAGGCAAACAGCGCCATTACTTTTTACGCTTTTTTGTGATGCTTTGTTGTTCACCTCTCATTATTTTCAGCACGATCCTACGAGTACCAGTCCAATGCCGTTGGGATGCCCCAGTGACTTCCATAATCTCTATAGCCCTGCTGGTTTTCGTTTATCGAGTTGTACTATGAGGCTACAAGTATTGAAGCATCGCATTTATGCTTAGCTAGCACATACTCGATATGTTATATGTGGGTTTCTGCCTTCGCCGGTTCATCAACGGGTTCTCAACTAGATCAGATGCGGCTCCTGGCGCTTTGTATATGCTGAGCAAATTGTAATAATTTTCCATTTCAAATACATTATTTTTCTGTGATTTGTTTGCACTCGCATCGCTCATCTATGTTTCGCGCAGTGCAGTGCTCCTTTGGAAGTGGATCTATTGTAAAGTTAGCGCTCCTACCTGAGATTGCGATCTGCGGGCTTGTAGGGACGTTCGTTCGTTTCTTGTTTTTACTAACTCCATAGATGTTTGTTTTTCTTTTCTAAAATTACAATCATTTTACATATTCTTATGGGCATGCGATATTGCTGCAAGTCATTGTTGTCTTTTGTATAGGCGAATTAGATAAAGATTTTATTCAGATCACAGATAGATAACCAAGGAAAAACAGTGATAAGTGATAATGATGAGACCAATTGACGAGAAGAAGAATTACAATAGCTGAGACAAATCAGACCATAAGTGGGAAAGGGAACTGTTAGCGGGCGCTGTTCGGCGACACGGGGGGGGGGCATTTTCCACCTTCGCTGCTTCCCATCGACAACTATCAAGTGGAAACCTGTGAAATGTCGTGAGCTCACGGATTTATAGCAGTTAAACTTTGTACAGACCATCTGTCAACTTTTGTAAAGTAATGAAATACCATTTAGCATGTTGTTCGACGAGTTTGCCCCAGCTTCACAAGAGTTTACAAGTTTCACCACAGCGAGTCTTGAACCGGAACTCATGGAGCGGCGAAAGTGCACTATCCTCCCCCGGAAGACGGTAAAGAGGATCGTAATTCGCCGCTCCACCGCGCGCGACGATGTTCGCGGCGTTTTCTTAACTCGTAATAACCTGTCGACTGGAGCACCGAACTTCATGTAGATCCCGTCATTGTAAACAGTCATGACTATTTCCGGTTCTGAATTGCCTCTTGCCGCCATCTACTACCTGTAACCATTGTCATTTGCGGGCGCGACGTCGCACACAGCGCGGCGAATACGATCCTCTTGCTCTCCCCCAGCACGTCGCCGATCTACGTCCTGACAGCGTGTAAATTAGTATAAAATTGAGGAACGTATCGCTTAACTGAGTATTGCTGCCTTGAAATATTTTCTGTACGTTCTGTGAAATACTGACTGTTCATGAATACAACAGCTAGCGATGGAGTGGTGGGTCTATGCTCCACTACAGGACCCTATTAGACGGTTTTCACACCTTGCGACCAAAGTGAAGCATCGTAGTAATCCCACAGGGAGGTCGCACTTGGCCCTTGAAAGCGAGCGAGAGGGAGTGGGGTGCGGGATATATTGTGTCGATTGCAGTTCGACGGGTGTGTTCTTCTAGTTCGGTGGGAATGCCTTTGAGAAAAAGAGGAACGGTAACTGGGGAACATTGTAGGTGGTGAGCAGGTGAGGAGAATGGAGGTTGTTCTGGAGGGAAGAATAGGTGGCAGACGGTGTCGTCTGATAACGCACTCTGCGATGTTTGTAGTCCGACTTGCGGAACTGCCTTATGAAATTCGTTGGAATCCTGGCGAAAAGGAAAGCATGTAAATTCGTTTGAGGCGATCTGCAGATGTATGCAGATCGCACCTTGAAATTTGGAAGGAGTCGATGACGCCGTGCGGCCAGGGATGCATTTGACAAGGCCAACTTGGGTAGCTGGAGCTTACCCTTTTGCGTGTGAAGGTTATTGAGATGGCACTCTTCTTATAGAGCACTTGTGAATGATTCCTTGTAATATTAGTCTTGCGTTGGTCGAAAAGTCCTGCGACACTTTGCACAATATTTTCGGACCTAAATTTCAGGTCATAAGGACATCTTCCACAATCGGACGAAGGTTTATCACCCACTAAGACCTAGGACTAAGTGGCCCATTTTTTAGCACAGCGCCATTCTCATTTTTTCTTCTAGAACTACGGCAACTATGATAAGAAGAAGAGGTGGACCTCATTTTTGAGTAGACGTCGATTTTCGGAATTTTTGCCTTCTTAAGGATGAGGTAGGGATCAAAAATGGTAGTAGTTAGAGACTGCTAACTTTGATGAATAAGCTGGGTATGGTCGCATTCTCAGATCGAGATCCACGATCTTTTGGTGTGGCCTGATCTTAACATGCGGTCTTCGCAATGCCGAGCGCTAGAGAAAAATTGAGTATTTTTGAAGAATTCAAGCTTGACGTCATCCATGTTGTGAGGTCGGTTAGAGAGGACTGTAGTCCTTACCGTTATGCTAGTATCCAGAGATACCGCTTTGAAGTCCCACCAATAACCTACTGAAATCTTTTCCCATGCACATGTGCTTTTGGCTGTGCAATCTACTTTTCTGTCTGAGAGATCCTGCGAGGAACATGTGCAAGATGTACGCAAGGACCGCCAACCCACTCTTCTACCACCACAGAATCTGCACAAAAGTTCCTCAGTGTGTACAAAGGGCAAAAAAAAAACCAGTCACGGTATAGACGGTATGACTTGTCAGAGGGGTTCAACTCATGGGGCATCCTTCATAAAAATTTTTCCAAAAACCGAGACTGCGGAGAAGCATGGCAGTTGTCAGTTAGGTGGAGCCTAGAGAGGTTGCCTACTTACTGGTGGTTACGTTCGGCTGCGCCTCAAGAACCTTGAGTAAAGGGCCGTCATTCTGTGCTGGTGGCCTACCTATACATTGCCTACTTCCGAGTTGAATAAGTCCAGCCTGGAAGCGCTGATGCAAAAGGAACTCTCTGCTATGGCAAGCGATATCCTTCCTTAAGACAACGTAAGAGTTAGCTTCCTCGACTATGGGGGAGTTGCCCTACAGGAACTCATAATATGGGACAGGTCGAGGAGTACCTCGACCTTCTGAGGTATTTTTTAAGCTTTGAAAACTTCCACGGAGCCATGATATACCCATTTTCAGAAACCTCAGGAGACATTCTCCACTAATCAGAGATAAAAACATTCAAAATGATTTTTGGTCTTTTTCTAGAATAGTTCAAACAAAGTGTCGCAGGACTTTTCGAACAACCTAATATCTTTGCTAAAGCAATACAGCCATACCTAATGTATTTCGTACCATTTTGCAAGTTTACCAGAGTTCACATGTCTCATACAGTGAAGTCTGTCTCATTGTAGGCTTGTACCAAGAGTCTACAGGTTGGTTATCAAGGTTCGGGAAAAACTAAGTCTTAGCAAAGATGGACTCCCCTCCCACATCTTAAGGGAAACAGCACGAATCGAGATCAAGCGGCCAATTAATCTAACCACTATACGCAGATTTTTACGAGCACTCAGGTCGCAAGGTTTGAACCATACAGTTCAGAGTCCATCACGTGAATCGCTGTCAAGCATTCACTATGTCCGTCTTCTTTCGGAATCCTTTCAGCTCGTTCACAATATCGATAGTTTCGCGACCCTTTGTCTCCGGAAGGAATATGTAGACGTAGGCGAGAGCTATTGAACACGGAACGATGTAGATTGGCACGAAACAGATTTCGCCGATCAGCTGAAATTAGATGTGGTGTATAAGAAAGTTAACATAATAATTGAGTATGAAGAAGGTTACAATGCTTACTTCGTAGCCTAAAAAAAATCGATTGCCCCAAACATTAATTTTTAACATTTCGGACGCGACACTGCGGCGTTATAACAGCAGCTTAATCGATAACGGAAACAGCCTTCAAAATTGTTGTAAAGCTTCAGCTAGCGGTTCCATGCCGATATCTTAACTATTTACGGCGGACCGGCTTAACAAGTTAAAACGGAGGCCCTCCTGTGAGTGAGCTGTGAAGGCTACAGAATAAAAGCAGTTAAGCCTGAGATAGGAGAAAAAAAGCGGCCCTTGGTGGCCGCTAACGACTAGGCGCTGCCCCGGGAAAGCGTGAGGTGCGGTTCGACTCCGCCCGGGGCACGACTTCATTGCCCATAACGCAGCATTCTTGTAATAAGTTGTAAATTTGTTTAAAAAATGATGGGCGCTCAAATTGGGCTACTTGGCCCACTAATGGTTTTGGTGCCAGCGCCAAAAATGGATATCGTGTTCGTGATCGGGGCACTGAAGAACCTCTTTGCAATGTTCCGGTGGAGTTTATTTTTAGTCGATTAGACTGGAACAGTGAAGTGCCAGATTCTCTCCAAAAGCCATTAGAAGGGCGACCCAAAAAACGGTATTAAGTACACCTCATATCTCAGAGATAGGGCGTGGTGGCTGCTTCGGTTTTGGTAATATTTTGCCGTTTCGTAACAACGCACTCATGCCATTCCCTAGCTAAAAATTACCTTCAGAATCAAATATCCTCAAGAAAAAAGCATGTGCGCCATGTTCATATGAGGCACGCAGCCACGCCCAGCCCGCCTCCTGTATATGGAGCGTATGCCGCTACTTAATGAAGCGACAAATCGTGTCAAGGAGCGGAGTAGTTTTCGATTCGTCTCGTATGACTGTTCGTAAGATCGACCCGGGGGGAACCACAGAGTGCATAGCGACTACGTGAGGCGTTTGCTATCCAATTGATATCGACAGATGAGCGCTCTATCGGAAACCAGCTATGAAGTGTCCACGATACCCGCAATGGGAACCATGAGCTGATAGCTGATAGCGGTAGATGGTGTAGTTAGAACTGTAGAACTGGCCCATCTGACTGTGCCGCAGCAGCAAACAGTCACCAGGTCGTGGTACAGGGATATTGAAATCAAAAACTCTCCTTTTTCGTTACCGTTAACGATCAAAAGGCACCCTCCGTGACAGAACTAATGGGGATGAGGGTTAAATTGGAAGACAGAGTCAACTAATTTGACGGCGAAGAAAAACCAAGCGAAACAACAGGAAACGCTTCAGAAAATGTTCCTTTCTGTAATTGATTTTGAGCATTGTAAGAGCATAACGCGAAGAAACACTGCACGCGCGGGCGAGAGACCAGGCGTCAAAGGTCGAGGGAGTACGGGTGAGAGAAGTCACACATTAAGACGTTCTTAACAGCGTCTTATTTAGGGCGCTTTCCTGGGAGAGCTGTACGCTTGAGCATGTAAGCAAACCTTTGCCACTTTTGAGTCACGGAGGTTGCACAGCGGTCGCGAATTTGACTGCCTTGTACATGAAAGAGGTTGCACCTCGCAGCCGATCAATGTGCCTTTAGGTTACTGTTGGAGAGATCCGCATCTATTTCCTGCTCGCTTCGTCTTACCTAACACGTTCCGAGAAAGGCTGTTTCAGGACTGTTGCACTCTCTCATGAGAAGCAACGCTCATTGATGCTTTACTTCGTCGAGAAGCCTTTTCCTGGATGCACTCGCAGCTTATCAGCAACTAATTGGGCTTCCACAGAAGCCCCAAAAGAATGCATGTTATATCCTTCTCCAGGAAAGATTACTTTCAATCGTAGTTTTGCTGTCCTTTGGCTTGAGCGAGAAAAGTACACTCTGTGCACGTCGTCAGGGATCCCCAGCGAGGGAGGTCGTAATCAGTCGCTGGAGAGAGGGGGGGTCATATGTTGGAAAAATTTTCCGACGACAGAATGTGTCCTGCGTGCACTACACGTGCACCTAAGTACAATTTGTCGATGGTGCTCAGAGGGACTTGTTACATATAAATGAATTAGGCATTCGCTTTAAAGGCAGTTGGCACGATAAATCCCCAAGACGAGTAGGATTAATACGCCTGGCAGGACGGAATTCCGCGACCCTGAGCAGGCGCTGCATAATGCCTTTTCCAAGTGAGGTGCCCTTATAAAGGGCCCTTATAAGCCGACAACATACGGACCCAATCTGCCACGACCGCCGCGCCGCACAAATGACGACCGATCCTGGCGCTCTAGTAGACTATTTGCTAAGCAAGTTATGGCCAGCGTCGATACCTGTATAGAATAAGCAAAGGGTTGTATGAGTGGCCGGTGGATTGCTGGGATATATGAGTATCGCATAATGCAGTACGTACTTCGGTAGACGTGTTCTTGGCCAAAAGGGCTACAGGAACCTCGTCCCATAATTGAGTTTCTGAGCACACATGAGAACGTAGGCTCTTTTATTGGCAGGATTTTGACCGTTTCACTCCGTTCTTTCGCCAATTCCCCACTATATAGTGCCCTACTAGCATTTTAGGCCGAGCACCAAATCATCGTGCCAATTGCCTTTGAAATTGTTGTGAAGCACACTAGCTTTGACGAAAACTCAACCTGCTGCTGATAGAAGCCTCTAGCTCGTGTAAGTGGCGTTGACGCAAATTCCTCACGCACAGACAAAGTGAACTTTGTATTAACCTTAAAATGATGGCTCACTTGGTGCACGACTTGACCGAGGTTGGCGCGTTCAATAAAACTGCAGTTGGCGGCATTGGATTTTGCCACTGAGGACCGCTTGATCTGTTTTTGTTAGGCGAATACCTTTTTCGCTTACGTGAGTTCTCGACATTCCGGCACAGTATTGGCAAAAATCCTGGCTCAAGAGTAGTCTTAGAAACAAGAGCATCATATAGCATCGTTCGTTGGGGATGGGGCGTCTCGGGAGCGTGAAACTGGCTTTGACGCTCCGTGCATCCCGTTCTCCACCAATCGCGGCAGCTGGCATCAATTGGTGGAAACTGGCTAACCCCACTCCCTCCCCTCCTGGAAGATCACAATCTTTGCAAGGAACAAGATTGTAATCATTTTGAAAATGTTATCTTATACATTTTGATGAAAAATACTTGTTTTTTTTCCCCCGTTCGCCGCTGCTGCATGATCAAGGCCTTGCTCTATCTCTATGATATGGACGTTGTCATGAACTACGAAGTGTTCAAAGGTAGCGAAATATTATCATGGTGATTATCAGGTGCTTATCAAATTATTAATGAATTTATCAAACTATTAATGAGTCAAACTCACTCCAAGCAGAGGTATTGTGGCGAAATTGGTGAGTACGACGAGCACACTATGTACAGCGTAACATAAGCAGAACATGGCTGATCGGTACTGTAGGGGTACCAACTCAGGTGAGATAAACCATGCAACCGGTCCGACACCGACCCTAAATAAGTTTACTACTGGTTATTGGAATAAGGCTGAGAAAAAAAATCAATCGTAATGCGCGTTCGACTTTAGAAGCGTTCTACAAGCCTATTCAATAACAATAGCTCCTAAAGATTAGTTCATAGAATATTCCAATAGAACCGATCGACTATTATTTCATCTACTATCCTCCTGCCCCCTCAGTTAGCTCAGCAATTAGCTAACGGAGATAAAATTTTTCCCCCGCTTTTGAAAACGATGCAGGCAGTAAACAGCATCTGGAAAAAAAAGCAACTGATATTTTAAACAGAACTTATCCATGGCTTAGGAATTGTTTTCCTAAAAGGCAGTTGGCAAGATAAGTCCCTAAGACGAGTAGGATTAATACGCCTGGCAGGACGGAATTCTGCTCGCCTGGGCAGGCGCTGCCTAGCGCCTCTTCCAAGAAAGGTACCTCTTATAAGGCCCTGTCAAGCTGCAACATACCGACCCGAACGCCCACCGCGCCCGCCCGCCCACAAATGGACGACCGTACCTGATGCTCGTATTGCTTCATTTGCGAAGTAAAATATGAAGCGAAGGGATTGATATGAAGCGGCGTGGTGCATGGATATATGAGTACATATGTGCAGCTGTTTCTAATGTAACGGTTGTTGGTAAGATGCCTATGGGTAATCGTCCAAAATCGCTTTTTTAGTGATTAAGGAATGAAGGCTTCTCTTCGCACGTTTTTACTTCGTTTTTTTCGCTATTTTTTCCACTACATAGGACACTGCTAGCAATTAAGACCGAGTACCAAATTATCGTGCTATGCGCCTTTAATTGTTAGATTTTTTTAACTCACCCATATGAACAGATGAATGCGAATACAGCCGCCATAGCAATGTATTTGAAGCCACATTCGGCAGCAATCACAAAAATAGTGAGAGATATCATACATAATGACCCGGCTGTCAGCAACATCCTCCTTGAACAAAAAAATTTGATCAGTTGTAGCCAATTCTAGGCAGATCTGGGAGTAGCACCGGGCAGCCACTCATCATTGCGGTCTGAAGGTAGGTACCCACCATGGTCAACGGGCCTTCACCATTACAGACTCTGGGGGCTGACAAAGCCTAGTCTGGGAGGAAAAGGTTCTCTTTAGCTCTCCCTCCGCTCTAGGCCCAAAACAGAATTCTTAATCCTCACGGCAGATGCCCTCAATGGCACAGATTAGAATAAATCTACGGAATCTGCTGCGAGAGAGACTCTTTTTGCCACTGCTCCCGCCTAATGGTGATCAGTGGGGTCGGAAATGCCAAATAAAGATTCTTAGTTCGCACACTAGTGGTCCATCCATTATCGCAGGATTTCATCCATCTTTTAGCAATTTTTTTCCGAATATAACCCAAGATCTATGGAAACCGAACCTTCTTGGAAGCTTATCAACAATACACGTAGATGTGATGCAGGAACAGGTGAGAAGTACCATCAACAAGGAAGACGAAAGTTGTGCAATGTTGCTGTAAAGGACACCATCAGATCTGTACAGAACTTTTAATTTCACAACAGACTCTCACTTTGGAACTTGAAGGTGTGTGAAGAAGTGGGTGCTGTTTTGTAGAATTGGATAGAATGGTAGGGTCAGAATAAGGACGGCAACGGAGATTGCGAAGGCGCCCCGCAGATGTTTGGTGGTAAGGACGGCCTGAAATTCGTGCCAGTTTTAACATTTGCAACATTTGCATTATGTCAAGTGTATTGAGTGGATACCTTGATCGCTCCTTTAGGCTCCTTCACTTCGGTGTTTTTACTCTCCAATTGAAGGTTTGTCAGTTCTTCTTGTAGACCTTCACGACGACCCTGGTAGAATCTCAATGATTTCATTGCAGCAGTTGGATTTTGCCTGAAATTTTTTTCCTCACTTAAAACACCATATGTTTGGAAAGCTAATCCAAGCAGGACTGGCCTCGATAGTCATGCAATTTTGGAGTTTCTGGCATGAGCACAATCGCCAAGGTAGAGAGCACACCAGGAATTACAGGTACGAACAGAAGTAGAGACAGCGAGTGACCTGAAAGGAGAGCACTGATAAACGATGAAGATCGTAGCGCTATCTATTCAATGCCGTTACAGAATTAATCATTGAAATTTCAAAAATAAGAGTGCGCACACCTGATGCTACAGAAAATAAGGGTTTTTGGCTTGAACGAAACTTTTTCAGCACACCTAATGCCACAGAAAATAAGGGTATTGTCTTGAACGAAAATTTTTCATTTTTACAATTGCGCTAGCAAGATTTCCTATGATTTCTAGGCCACGTGTAGGGAAAGGGAGCGCTCCCACAAATTTTGAACTCCACCCTCCCAGGTTAAAGGCAGTTGGCACGATGGTTTCCTACTTAGCCTAAAATGCTAGTAGGGCGCTGTATAGTGGGGAAATGGCGAAAGAACGGAGTGAAACGGTCAAAATCCTGCGAAGAAAAAGCCTCCGTTCTCAGTGACTTGTAAATCGATTTCGGACGAGTTTCCCGTAGGCATCTTACCAATCACCGCTACCGAAGATACGGCTGCATATGTGTACCCATGTATGCATGCAGCATCACGGCCGCTTCATACCAATCCCTTCGCTTCATAATTTGCTTAGCAAATGAATGAATACGAGCGTCAGGAACGGTCGTCCATTTGTGGGCGGGCGGGCGTGGCGGGCGTTTGGGACGTAAAGTTGTGGCTTGATAGGGCCCTTATAAGGGCACCTTCCTCGGGGAAACCGCTATGCAGCGCCTGCCCAGGGTCGCGGAATTCTATCCTGCCAGGAGTATTGATCCTAGTCGCCTTGGGGATTTATCGTGCCAACTGCCTTTAATCATTCTCACAAACGACTCATTCGACAATGGACACTTGCGATATGTGCGAATTGTGTATATTAATTTCCACCTTTGACTCTCTACTACTTCTGGGCTCATGTTAGCGCCAAGGTAAACTTATGTCGTTTTTTGAGTTCATTCCCATTGTACTAGTAAGTTTTGAAGCCCAATCAGATACCGAAGAAGCTTAATTTACCGAGCACGTCTTC